TTTTTCTGCATTTTCTGTTCATAATTTGTTCTATTACCAGGGAATTTCACTTCTACGGGATCTTAAAGTACAGATTGTGGGGAATTGTACAGATTGTGTTACATCAAATGAGTTCTCTGCTTTCCTGCCTTGCTCATCTTGAAGATGTGTCACCACTCAATGACAATGCTGTTGCTATTTTTCAGATTCACTTGAAGCTGAACAGCTTGCTTTTCTGGTAGATTATATTAAATACAGACTTAAAACAACAAAACCAAAAGCTGTGTTTCTGTCAAAACAGCATCAGCCTCCCAACTTCTTTTTTCACAGAGTTAGTGTTTATTGGAGAAAGGAGCACTTAAATATTATGAAGCATAAAATAATATATGACTTGATGCTCTCTCAACAGCTTGCTTTATAGTGATAGTATAGATGGCTTCACAAGAATAGAGCCACTTAAATGTCTGTGTGTATAAAAGCCTGTAATGAGGGGTTAGGTATTCGGATATTTTGCAATGTTTTCCATAAGATAAAAAATAAACATCACAAATATTTAATATTATTTTTCTAGTTAATGACAGAATCTTGTGCTTCCTTAGTAGATAAAGAATTAGGTTATTGAATGGATAATAGGAATGAGTGAGCCATTTAAATGTCCAACAGTCACTCAGTCACCAAATATTTCTTGAGCACTACTTATGGCAAGAATTAAGTCTTAGAATGGAGATATGATGAGGGGCAGATTAGTCACCATTTATGCCTTAGAAAACCTATTGTTTAAAATTGAAAGAATTTTCACAGAGAAAGATATTCAAATGGCCGACACATGAAGAAATGATCCAAACCACTGGCAATAAGAGAGATGCAAATCAAAACCACAATGGGATACTAACTCACTCCAGGAGCTGTGGCAAAGTTTAACAGGACAGATAGTAATAAATGTTGGAGAGGATGTGGCAAGATAGAACTCTTATACATTTTTTATGGGATTGTGAAATGGTACAACCACTCTGGAAGGCAGTCTGGTGCTTCCTCAAAAAGCTGAACATAGAAATTTCATATGACCCAGCTATTGCTTGGAATATACCCCAAGAAAAGGAGAACTGAGACTCAAGTGGAAACTTGCACACCAATATTCAGAGCAGCATTATTCACCATTTCAAGAACATGGAAACATCCCAGATGTCCAGCCACAAACAAATGGATTGAGAAGTTGTGGTACATTCATACAATGGAAGACTATACAGCACTCAGGAGCAATGATTTCGTAAATTATTACCTAACGTGGGAGGGACTGGGAAGCATTATACAGAGTGGACTAAGTCCCACAATGACAAATATTGATTCATATTGCAGAATAAATATGAGGATACAAAGGGTGGGTAGAAGCAGAGGAGTGAGGATGGGCGGGGAATGGAGATGTTAATCATAGGGTTGCACCATTTGATGGGTGGGGTTATGAAGGAAATGAGAAAGATCTTGTATGAAAAACAATGTAATTGAACTCAGTAAATAAATCAGTATAAAAGAAATAAAAAAAAAACACTGCAAAAAACAAAAGTCTACTGTCTTACTGAGGAGATTGCAGGAAAGCAGTCAAAAATTTCTGTAATGATGTGTTTTCTCATTAACAAAGTTCTCAAAGATAATGTATTATGACATGCAGCTTCCCAGATGAACTGATAAAAGTATTTGTGAATTTTATCTCCAACATCATTTGAAACATTAAATGAGACACATACAAAAATAGAAAATATATTTAGAAATATGAGATTCTAATGGAATTACCCTTACTTCCTTGCTTGGTTAATGTTGGGTCTAGAAACCTGGACTCCAGAGGAAGAATCTTGTTCAAATCCCTGGAGCAAGTCATTAAACTTTGCTGTTTCCATTTTCTCTGCTATCAAGTATGAATCATAAAAGCTCGAGTTTGTTGTGGGATTAAGTTGAATGTGTAGCACGTTAAAAATGATGCCCAGTTTTTCCTAAGAGCTTGGTAACCAGTTATCATTGAGTTTTACTCATGGTAGCCCCCCAGATATGTATGTCATAGTTGAACTTTGTTCCGTGGGGTTCGGTGACTGATTTTTTTTTTTTTTTGAGTTCTATATCCAGATTGGTCTTCAAAGGTGACTCTCAGTAGACTTTAACTTCCAACCTTTTGGTTAATGATAGAGCACATTAGTCGGTTTATACCACCTGGGGATGTCAAGGTTTTATTGTTCTTAGGTGCCTTTGAATTGGCCTGAGTCATAGTAACCCTATGTACAAAAGAACAAAACACTGCCAAATTCTGTATCTCGGAATCTGTGTTATGCTCAAGCCGATTGTTGTAGTCAGAGTGTCAGTCCATCTCATTGAGTCTTCCTCACTTGTGGTGGAGTTGTTAGATGCTGTCAAGTCAACTCTAACTTGTAGTGACCCTGTGAACAACAGATTGGAACCTTGCCTCATGTGCCATTATCACGATGTCCTTCCTCATCAAGCCCATTGATGGAGTCACTGTGTTGAACTGTCTCATTGAGGGACTTTCTCTCTTTTGCTGACCCAACATTTCCCAACATGATCACTCCCTTTCCCAAGGACTGACCCTCCTGACAATATCCAGTGCTCTTCCACTTTTCCAACAAAATTTCCTTCTCCAGGGATTGATCCTCCTCCTAATATTATGGCCAAAGTATGAGATGAATCCTCATCAGTGTTGCTTCTATGGAACATCCTGGTTGTAATTCTTTCAGATCAGATTTGTTTGTTCTTTTGGCGGGCCATGGCCTCTTCAGTAGCTTGTGCCAACATTACAACCCAAAGGCACTAGTCCTTTGATCCTCTTTATTTATTGTCCAACTTTCACATGCATTTGAAGCAATTGAAAATACCATGGCTTGAGTCAGAAACACTTTTGTCTTTAAAGTGAAATCCATAGTAGCAGGTTGATTCAGGGCACTACATTGTTCATCTTGAAGATTTTATGGGCATTGTTTGTGGATTCAAGGAAAATTAAGTCCTTGACAATTTCATTATTTTCTCTACTTATCATAATGTTGCTTATTGATCCAGTTGTGTGAACTTTTGATTTATTTTTTTTTATGTTAAGATGTAATTTGGAAGCAGGAATGGCATCCACTTCCTAAATAACATGCCTCCAGAAACTCTATGAACTTTGATAAATGTGGATGGTTGTAGAGGGACTTCAGGCCTTTTGTTCATAGGGTTGCTATGACTCATGCTCGATTTGAAGGCAGTCAACAACAACAACAAGGTGTAATACATACTAGAAGCTGTACTTTTTTTTTTATTTTCTACACTACGTGCTTTAAGTCCTCTTTACTTTTGACAAGCAATGTTGTGTAATCTGCATACCACAGACTGTTGATGAATCTTTCTTCAATTCTGATGCCACACTCTTGTTCATACATTTTCTCAGATGTTTGCTCAGCATACAGATTGGATAGGCATGGTGAAAAGATATAATCCGTTACACAGTTTCTTACTTTAAACCGTGCTTTTTCTCCTTATTCATGTGATAGTTTCATATGAGCTTAATAACTAAGTGTTCTGGGATTCCCATTCTTCTCAATGTTATCAGTGTTAAAACTGTAGATCATAACTTATTACGATCTACGCAGTTGAATGCTATTGAATAGTCAATCAAACACAAACATTTTTCTAGTATTTTCTACTTTCTGCCAAGATTCATGTAAAGCCAGCAATGATGTATCTTGTTCCTTAATCTCTTTATCCAATTTATATTTCTGGCAGATTCTTTATAATATACTTGCTTTGTTGCTGTGGTGGTTATGTGCCATCGAGTCGCCTGCAGCCCATAGCAGCAGCTCCGAACCCTGCCCTGTCCTGAGTCAGCCTCACTAATTTTGACACACCAATCCCCATTGCCCCAGTCACTGTCTTATCAGTGATCTTCCCCTCCTGTGCTGTCCCTCCAACCTTCCAAGCTTGATGTCCTTCTCTAAAGACCAATCTCTCCAAACCTCCAACTCATAGTGACCCTATGTACAACAGCTCTAAACCCTGCTCTATCCTTTGCCAATCTCACTGTCTCTAACAATCTACCTCCATTACCCCAGTCAGTGAATCATTCCGTCTCATTGAGGGTCTTACTCTCCTGTGGTGTCCCTCCACCTTCCCAAGCATGATGTCCCTCTCTAAGGACTGGTCCCTACTTGTAACATGTCCAAAGTATGTAAGACGGAACTTCAGAATCCCTGCTTCCAAGAAGCAGCCTGGTTTAACCCTCTCCAGGACAAACCTGTTCATTCTCTTAACACGTTGCCACAAATGACTGAAAATGTGTTTCTAAGCACGCTCATCAATTTTAAAAGTGTGCAGCAACATGTTAACAGTCCATGGTATATTCAATAATTTTCTCCAACACCACAGCTCAAAGGCATCAATTCTCCTTTTATCATCCCTAGTCATTGTCCATCTCTTTGATGCATAGTAAGTAATTAAAAAGACCATGTCCTGTAACAGGTGCACCTTAGTCTCCAGACTGACATCATTGCTCTTCAGTACTTTTTTTTAAGGGGGAGGGAGTTATTAGTATTGCAAAAGGCTATTGTAGTTCATTTAATTATGAGGTACTTTGTTTCTTTAACATATTTTCTAGATGCAAAAATATTTTTAAAACCACCCTCTAAAGACCACCAGAGTTGTTAATAAATGCAATTTTATTTTTTTAACATACTGATTTATTGACAAAGTTTGAATATATTGCTTTGTACGAAAGATCCTTCCCATTTCCTTCACCCCACCCACCCATCGAGTTGTGCAACCCTACGATTATCACTCCACCCCACCCCTCATCCTCATCCCTCTGCTTCTACCCTCTTCCCCCTTGGATCCTCATACTCATTCTACAATAATGGTTTTATACAGTATTTGTCCTTGTGGGACTGAGTTTGTTCACTCAGTAAATGCCAATTCTGAATGAGCAATCTGGTGATGTGAAAGCTCCTTATGAACACTCTTTTTTGCTCTCCATTCAACTTTGCTTCTCTTAGGACACACGATGGCCAAGCAAGTGTGTTACACTAATAAAAAGAAGGACTCCTCAAAGTGGCTGCCTGCCCTCCATCTCTTCAGCATGGCTCTGCAGCTGTGTAAGGCCTCAGCCACACAAGAACATGAGGTCGAAGCTGAAATTCTTTTTCAGAAAGGTAACATGCGTGAAGTTCAAGTTGTCATGAAGTTGGTTGAACTCATTTTTCTATCAGCATTAGACTTTACATTTTGGTTAACAACTATGGAAAGTGCAATTTGCCAAGGACATAGAAATGCCAAACATGTTAGTATTCCTGCCAAACCAGGTTTTAGAGAAAGCAACACTGCTTATTTTAATTTTTTATCAGCGGGGGGGGGGATAAAGTGCCTCGGCGTCTTTTTGTTTTTAATTTTGCATTGGTTTGCATACAGAGTTCCTATTGATTATGTTTCACACTATCCTTCACTCACATTGTGCTTCAAACAGTCATTCTCATTCATTTTGTTTTATAAAATCAGTCACCGTTGAACTATGCCCACCACTATTCTGTCTTTTCAGATACCCTCTGGATCTTTCCAATTTCTTTTACTCCCCCTCCCTCCACCATATTGTGTGACCCTATGATTTTTTTCCCCCTGTCTACCGTCATCCCTCTGTTCTCACCCTTTCTCCCTTTGGGGCCGTATACGCATTTTATTATTTATCCGTCTGTTTTCATAATAATGGTCCTATTCAGTATTTATCCTTATGAGACTGAGTTAGTTCACACAGCATAATGCCCTGCTGAGTGCTGCACAGTATTCCTTCATGTGAATTTACCACAATTTCTCCATCCATTTGATTGTGGTAGAATATTTCCTCATTCTCACAATTGTGAATAATACTGCATTGTTGTACAAATCTCTGTTGCTGTCTCAGTTCTAATTTCTTCAGGGTATATTCCTAGCTGTAGAATAGTTGGGTCATATGGACTTTCTCTTTTCAGCTTTTTGAGAAAATGCCGAACTGCCTTCCAGAGTGGTTGTACCATTTTACAATTCCACCAACAATGTTTAGGAGTTCCTTTCTTGCCACATCTTCTCCAACATTTATCACTTGCTGTCCTATTAAATTTTGTCACTGTTAACTGGAGTGAAATGATATCTCATTGTGGTTTTGATTTGCATCTCCCTTATTGCCAGTGATTTTGTGTATTTGTGTTTGTTGGCCATCTGAGTATCTTCTTCTGTAAAAAGTTTTTCCATGTCTTTTGCTCATTTTGTATTGGGGTTTTCAATCTTTTTCTTGTTGAAGCCCTGTAGGATTCTGTAAACGTTTGTTGTGAGACCTTTGTCTGAGATCAGTATGGCCAAATACTTTTTCCCAGGCAGTAGGTTTCTTTTTATTCTGTTGGGAAAAGTTCACAGGGATTTAATCTTTAGAAGCTCCCAATCATCAATTTTATCCCCTCCTGGCTGTGTATTTCTGGCTGTATTTGTCAGCCTCTTTATACCACAGGTGAGGCTTTCTAAGTTTGGTCCCAATTTGTCTCTTATGATGTTTATGGTTTTGGGTTTTATGCTTAGGTTTCAGATCCATTTTGAGTTAATTTTTGTGTATGATGAGAGGTGTGGGTCCTGCTTCAGATTTCTGCAGGTAGCAGTCCAATTTTGCCAGCACCATTTGTTGAAGAGGTTGTTGCCTCCCCATTTGATAGATTTTATTACCTTGTCAAATATCAGTTGACTATAGATAGATAGGTTAATTCCTGGGTTCTTGATTCTATTCCATTGATCTATGTGTCTGTTATTGTACCAATACTATGCTGTTTTAGTTATTACAGCTGTATATATTTTGAGATCAGGGAGTGTTACACCTCTCACTTTGTTCTTGTTCTTCAGAAGTCCCTTCGCTTCTTTTATGATGATAGTTGATAGTTTACCATCTTTACTTAAATTTTCATCAAGAAATTTCAACATTGGCTACTTCTTGTTGTTGTTATGTGCCCTCAAGTCGCTTGTGACAACAGCTCTGAACTCTGCTCTATCTTGAGCCAACCTTATTGTCTCTGACAGACCTACCCCCATTTCTCCAGTCACTGAGTCAATCCATTCTCATCCAGGGTCTTCCTCTTTTGTGCTGTCCCTCCACCCTCCCAAGCATGATGCCCCTCTCCAAGTACTAGTCCCTCAAAGTATGTCAGACAAAGCTTCAGAATCCTTGCCTCTAAGGAACAGCCTGGCTTCACCCTCTCCAGGATGAACCTGTTTGTTCTCCTAGCAGTCCATGGTATATTCAATACTCTTTTCCAACACCACAGCTCAAAGGCATCAATTCTCCTTCTATCATCCCTAGTCATTGTTTGGCTTTCTGATATAATATTACTTAACTTAAGCTTGGAATATTTCTTTTTCTATATCATTAGAATTATTAGCTAAGCATTTTAGTTGACTTGTTTACTTAAGAGATCCTTAACCCATTTAAATAAAGTTGTTCTGTTTTGTGCTGCTGAGTCAATTCCAATTTATAATAACCCTCAGTACAAAGTACAACTGCTACTACAGTGTCCTAGGTGATAATCTTTATGGGACTAGATCACCAAGTCTTTTCTCCTATAGACCAACTGATTGATTTAAACCACAGACTTTTTTGCTAGCAACTAAATTCTAACCATACTTAAATTTATCTTTAATGCATCTTTGTAAAATACTGTGTTCAATTTATCTGTGAGAGCAGGTTGATAGTAGTGATGATTACTGCTGCTAATTGTGGTGTAGTCTGCAGAGAATTGCACTGTCAATCCAAAGGCTCTGCCTCTCTAGTGGTTTGAATCCAGGTGGATTGACATGGTAACTGCTGCAATGTGTGTCTGTGAGCATGGTGCAAGATAGAACAGGGTTCAGATCTTTTGTTCATAGTGTCACTATGAGTTGTATTCAACTCTACACCACCTAACAACAGCAACAACAACATATCTTTGGCTTTCTTGACTATTGCTACCTTGAACATTGATTTGGATGCAAATTGTATTACATCATTGGCAAATTCAATCTTTTCTCCAGTTAATCATGATGTTGCCTTTTAGTCCAGTGGTAAAAATTTTTGTTTTCTGGATGTTGAAATGAAATTCATATTTAGGGCTTTGGGTTACTTTAGTGAGTACTTACAGTCTTCATTTTCTACAAGTGAGGCTTTGTCATCTGTATAATACAGGTTGTTATGAGTCTTCCTTCAATTCTGGTGCCACATTCTTCTTCATGTATGTCCAGCTTCTTGAATTATTTGCTCAGCATACAGATTGGAGAGGTGTGGAGAGAGGTCACAACCCTGACATATGCCTTTCCTGATCTTAAAACATGTAGTGCTGTCTTTTTCCTTTCAGACAAATACTTCTTGATCTATGTATAAGTTTACCAGGAGCACAAATAAGTGCTCTGGATTCTTGTTCTTTTCTAGGCTATCCACAGTTTGTTATAATCCACATAGTCAATATTCAATAAAGCACAGACGTATGTCTTTCTGGTATTTTCTGCTTTCAAACAAAAGTCATCTAATATCAGCAATGGTATCTCTCCTATCAGCCTGTTATGAATCCAGTTTGAATTCTGGACGTTTCTTGTAAAGGTGCTACTATTCCAGTCATTCTTAAATCATCAAGATTTTACTTGCATGTAAAAATCTTAAGGATATTGTTTGATAATTTCCACATTCTGTTGGATCACCTTGTGGGGGAATGGGATCAAATATTAATCTCTTCCAGTCAGTTGACCAAGTTATTGTTAGATGTCATTTAGTCAAGTACAACTCATAGCAACCTTGTGAACAACAGATCTGAACCCTGTCCTATCCTGTGCTGTCATTGTCATCTTGGATACACTCAAGTACATTGCTGCAGTCACTGTGTCAATCCATCTAGTTGAGAATCTTTTTCTCTTACCTTGACCTTCCACCTTGACAAACATAATGCCCTTCTTCAAGGAACAACCTCTCTTAGCAATATGACAAAAGTATGTGAGATGAAGCTTTATCATATTTGCCTTCAAAGAGCTCTCTGGGAATATTTGTTTGTTCTTTTGACAGTCCATAGAATATTCAGTATTCTTCTTTCTCCAACACCAAAACTCAAAAAGCATCAATTCTTCTTTTGTTATCCTTATTCATTCCAGCTCTCAGATGCATAGCAAAAGATTGAAAAGTCCTGGCCTGAATCAGGTGCGTCTTAGTCTTCAAACTGACATCATTACTCCTCAGTATTTGGAGAGGTTCTTGACGGTGAACTTTCCTAATGCAATAAATGTCCTGATTTCTTAACTGCTGATACCGATGGTGTTGATTGTGGATCCAAGTAAGATGACATCATTGACAGTTTCAATCTTCTCTCCATCCATCATCATGATGTTGCTTATCAGTCCACTGATGAGGATTTTTGTCTTTTTGATGTTGAGATGCAATCCATATTGAATGTGTTAGTCTTTGATCTTCTGCAGCAGTTGTTTCCAGTCTCTTTCCACAATCAAGGTTGTGTCGTCTGTATAATAATGTAGGGGGATGAGTCTTCCTCCACTTCTGATGCCATGATGCCATATTCTTCTTCATAGAGTCCAGCTTCTCAAATGATTTGCTCAACAATCAGATTGAATAAGTTTGGAGAAAAGATACAACCCTGATATACACCCCTCCTGATTTTTAAACACGTAGTGTTTCCTTGCTGTTGACCAAGTAGCAATCTTCAAAATTTGTTGGCACAAGTAAATAAGTATGTCCAGTGCATCTCTGTGTTGAAACACTTCAATTCGCTTTCCATCAATTCCTGGAGCCTTATTTTTGCCAGTACTTTCAGTGCAGCTTAAACTCTTCCTCCAATATAGTTGATTTTTTATTATATGCTGCTTCTTGAAATGGTTCCGTACCAACCAATTCTTTTTGGTACAGTGAGTATGTATTCCTTCCATCTTCTTTGGTTACTTCCTGCATCATTCAAGATTTGCCTGCATAATCCTTTAGTATTGCAATTTTGTTTTTCAATTTTTTAAGCTTTCAAAATTCTGAGTGAGACCCTTTTTCTTGGTTTTTTAACTCTAGCTTTTCCCATATTTCCCCTTTTCACAATACTTTTCAAGCTGCCCTTTGAAATCGTCTGTTCATCTCTCTTACTTCAAAGCATTTTCTTCCCTTTGTTTTGATCTTTCTATGTTACAGTACAAGTTTCAGTCTTTTGCAACATTATTTTGATGTTTCTCCTATGTCATTGCAGTGACCTTTTGCTTTTGTGTGGGTGATGCCCTTAAAATCATCCCACAATTCTTCTGGTGTTCAGTGATTAGTGTCCCATGCATCCAAGCTATTCCTGAGATGATTTTTAAAATGAATTGGGATAAACTCAAAGTGATAGTTTGTTTTCATTTTTTTTTTCACCTTCAGTTTGAGCTTGCACATGAATTGTTTTGGGGCTGTTCCATAGTCAACCCCATCCTTGTTTTAGTACTGAGATTGAGTTTCTGTGTCAACTCTTTTCCACAAAGGTAGCCATTCTGATTCTTGTGTTGCACATTAGGTAAAGTCCATGCATACATGTATACCATTTATGTTGAGTTTTTTTTAAACTATTTGCAATGAGCAAATCATTGATTCTATAAAATTCTAGAATGCATTCTCCAGCTTCATTATATCACCAAGGTATATTTGCCAACTTCCAATTTTACTTCTTTGTTTCCAGCCTTCTGTGACGGCAGATAAGGTGGGGTGCAGGAAACTGCATATAGGAGAAAGGAAATGCACCAAGTAATGAAATAGAAAAAGTAAGATGGAAAGCCAGTTGTGTTTGGGGGAATCAAAAGGAATCAGTGACTCACTGTTTCTTATTTTAGTCTCTTCCACTTATCAGGTAAGATGAGTTATTCACTGGGTAATCCAGCCTTGCTAGTCTCAAGCCCAAGGATTCTATGGGGCGTAGGGAGAAGCAATTCATCTTTTCACCATCTGATTACAGTATACCCTTATTCTGAATCTCTAGCATAAATATTTTTTCTCAAGTTTTGAATTATAAAAATGATAAAACCATCTTATATCTTTTTCTTATTTTAGGCAGAATAGAATGTCAAGTAACGATGGATGAGAAAATTCCACATTTACAACTTACGAGTTTGTTTGAAGCTATACAACTAAGCCTGAGAAATGATCAAAATGCAGAGTAAGAAAAAGTCAGAATATCTTTCCTTTGTTGTAGCAGTTTGTGTGTTCTCACTTTAGCCCCATGTTCTGATACAATACCAACTAGCCAAGGATGGAGTGATGGGGAGGCATCTTCACATCCAGGCTATGTCACTGAGATGCACCTGTCCAGCAAGTTTACTGACTCACTTTTCTAGCATATTGCCCTTGGTTCTGACCCAAGGCTTCAATTTTGATAATGTTTGTTGGTGGTCATTATCACTCTGACATACTGAATGAAATAACCTGTATCCATATCTCCTATCTGTCCCAGAATTATCACTCTCACCCTTTGTCAAGTGTGAATGTTTGCGTTGGTCCTCAGTGAAGGGCTAGTCAACTTAATACTGTATTTTAAAGAATCACCTCAATATTGAGAATAACCCACCATTATTACTACTGAAGTGATCCTCAAGGCCTAACCTGAGAGATTTGGGAGTGGACACACACAAAACCAATCACTGCCTTAAGCTTCTTCTTTGATTTCAGTTAGTGTAGGAGGGCCAGAGGATACCTGGTGTGAAGGTTGGTCTCTCCAGTCTTCACCTTTATTCCCTGTGATATTGTTGGCAAGTTTGAACCAAGTCATAGCTGACCCTCTAGCAGGTATTGAGAGGCAGTGAATCACATGGGAGGAGATTGCTCATCCTTCTTTCATGAAGCAGCTGGTGGATTTGAACCTCATATATTTGAGACTGCAGTGCAACTTCTTATCACTAGGCTACTAGAGCTCTAGTGCACTTTATGCTGGATTATTCTAGAGTGATCTCAGTGCCGGGCTGCACAGCAGTGATGACACAGAATGTTAGCAGCAAATGGCAAAATAGGATGCTTAGCTCTCATTAATCAATAACTTTCAATTTCTGTGGGAAAGAGGATGCTAGCATCTGTGGCCAAACTTCTATGAAAAGAAGTTGCAAATTTGGGATCTGTATGGGATTTGCCTGTATTTAGTTTTCATCAGGTTGAATTTGACAATAATTAGTTTTAAATGTTATGAGTAAGTAGTGAAGCTTCTTAATAATTATGATGATATGTAATTTTAGGTTGATAAGAAACTCCTACTTGGAAATGGTCCTATTATATTTTCATCTCAGAAAGTCAAAGCAGAGTCTTTCAACATCACCATCAACACATAAGGTAATTAACTATTTTATTGGGAATTATAAGTTAAAAGCCATTGAGCTTGTAATTTTGGTAACTGTGCTATTGAAATGAGATTTTCCTGTGCTACTTGGAGAAATTAATTACACTATTTTTAT